TATAGTAGTGCCTGGTTCTACATTCCAGGGAGTTTTACAAGATCCCTCCAAATGTGTCTTTAAAATGCTGTTTTTTGTTACAAATTATGCATGGCAGGTGGCTAAAACCTGGGGAACTCCTCTGGTCACATCTGAATTTCGTAATAAAACAGTACTCTCGAGAACTAAACGGTCCTATCTCCCTGAATAAGGATTAATGTTAAAACTTAATTTTATTGGATTGGAAACTAGGTTTAGTCGGATTAATTTCAATTCCATTGTTTTCAGGTGAGAGGGGCATACTAAGTATGGCTAAGCTTTGATCCAATCAATTCTGTTTGAGACTGAATGAAAATGAAGTGACCAAACAATACATGCATCCATCTATTGTTAAAATTGGATTTTCAAATTTTACATTTCATTCTTCACCAAATATAAAAATGGGAAAAAAGAAAGCACAGATTCACACAAAAGGCTTGTAGCATACCAGTAAAATGTTATTCTTCTTTGTCTGCTTTGATCAGTTCAATTGCATCCAGTTCCACAAACTATTTTTGGAAAAATCATTTTCAGAAACAAACTGTCATGTGGCATTGGGGAAGGATGCTGATTAGGATAGTTTGGATGGGTAGGGGTATCTAAAGAAAAAAGGGAGGAAGGAAGGAACAAAGACAGACAGAAAGACCCACTGGAACAAGTGTCATGGTGCCTTTCAAATTGGCTGTATTTTTTCTACATTCATCCATGGAATCATACTATTTTAGAATGGGGAGGGCCTTTGGAGACATTTAATTCAGTGCTGGGAAACTGTGGCAGGGAACAGCAGTCTAAGATTTTCACCATCAGCTTAACACACTAGTATGAGCCAAAAAAATGTATCTGGACATTTTGGACTTGGACATTTTGGTGGTTTGATTGGTTATAATCTCCCACTTGAACAAACTATTGACCTTTTACAAGCATTTTTGACTGAAGAAAATGTGGGTGAAAAAGCAATGGAAGAGAGTGAGAACCTCATGTGGCTCACAGGTTACACTTCACCTGCCCTAAGTCCAAAGATTTGCTCATTGCAGGAAATGTGTAACTACATACACTGTAGAGATTCTACGCCTCTGGCTGGTCTTGCTTATTTTATTGTAAATTGCCATAAACATAGAAAAAATCTATTTTATGTGCAGGGTAGTTACTTACTGTGCAGTGATTTTTCTGTGCAGAAACCTTGTTTACTGCAGAGAAATGTTTGCTGTCCAGAAAATGTACAAAAGTGCAATATTTTTTACACAAAATGTTTCCACAACTGTGAATAGTTTTCAAACTGTACAGGTTTTAACAACTGGTTTCAGTGAGGAGAGGAAAAGTAAAATTATATATTCTTAGCCGAAATATTGGAAGCTAAGAAGATTTGCATCCCTGCTTCCAGTTAAATATGACTGGGAATGCAATATCTTACTGAAAGATGCCTCAATGAATCTGCCATTTATGTTCTTATTAACAGTTGATGAAGCCAGTTGTGTGTGAAGTTTATAACATGAGCACACTATAATAGCCACTCAAATTAATGGCACATCTTATTGACTGCTGAGCATTAGCTTCCTTATAATTAACTGAAGGGCAATAGTTCAGTATCGTACTTACTCTAGAAAGTCACCCTGTAACTTCAAATGGGTTATGTCAATGTTCTCCACATCCTGAATTCTGAGTATTAAAATTTAACTTTCAGAATAATCAAACTGATGGTGTGCCATTTAAAAACAACAACAGCTACATCTGAATTGTAAATAATCACCTAAATCTGCAAAATGTTCTTCTCCTCTGTTGAATGTCTATGCTTTAAAAAAAATAAAGGTTGATAGCTTCCTCCATAGACTCCTGTTATGACATCATGTTTTTGCATTTGCAATTAATCCATCTTTCTTTTCCAAAAAAATTAGGAAAACAATTCTTTATAGTACCATGTATTTACTATTGACTTATTGGGGAACTATAATAAATTAAGTCATTTTTTCCAAGACACACCAGGCTACTTCAACAGTAACTTTTCAAGTGTGAAGCTTGCTTTCACTTGTGTGCACATAGGTGCCTTCATACAATCTATATTCAAATGTGGCATTGCTATTCCAGTTGTTATGTTGCTTTCAGAAAGACTGACACTGCCTGGAATGGAATATTCGAAAGAGCATACTACACAGTGTTAGAATCTCCTTGTATGTATCTTCTAGGGCTGTGCAATTCGTTTCGTTAATTCGTAATTCGTTAAAAAATTCGTTAATTTTTGAATTACAAAACGATTACAAAACTTATTTTTAAACCTGGAAGTGTTTTTAAATATCGAAACGGCAGGCGCCAAAAAATTTTGTATTTCCGTCCATTTCGGAAATACGTAAGATGGCCGCCTGGCTTGCTGGGAGCTCTCCTCTCTCCGCGCCGGCTGAGCAAGCGAGCGAGAGGGCGAGCGAGAGGGCGAGCGAGAGGGCGAGCGAGAGGGCGAGCGGCGAGCGAGAGGGCGAGCGAGAGAGCGAGAGGGAGGTCTCCTTCTCTTTCTTTCCTTTTCTCTTCTTTCTCTCTCTCTCACCTTTCGCAGGAGGGTTCTGAGCTCTCTTCCAAAGAAGGCTCCCCTTTCTTTCCCTCCTGGTTGGAAAGGCAGCCCCCATTGTGCCCTTCTTTCTCAGCCATGGCAGAAGCAGATCAGCAGAGCCTTGGAAACGTCTCACTTGCTTCCTCTTCTCTCTCTCTCTCTCTCTCTCTCTCTCTCTCAATTCGAGGCAGGAAACCCCTCCATCCTGCAGCCATCTACACTGCAGCCTGGATGAGGTTTGGCACCACATTGGCTCAATGCTGTAGCATCCTGGGAGTTGTAGTTTGGCAGCCTGGGAAAAAGAGCCCCTCCTGGAAGGAACCCATCCTAGCGAGAGGGCGAGAGGGCGAGCGAGAGGGCGAGCGGCGAGCGAGCGGCGAGCGAGAGGGCCCGCCAGAGTGAGTGCCTGCCTTCCCTCAATAATAATTTCTCCTCCCTATTCTACTAAATTAATAATTAAATTTAAAAAATATTGAAAAAATATTGAAAAAAAAAGGGCGCCATCTTTACAAAATGTTTTGTAAATATTTACAAAATTTCGTAAATACCGAAACTTTTTTTTGGAAAGTTTTGTAATTATTTTAAATATCGAAACAAAAAAACACCCCAATTACAAATCGATTTTAGAAACAAATTTTTTCTTGATCAAACAGGCCTAGTATATCTTCTATTCCACAAAATTATGCACTACCTGTCAATCTATTTTTTTAAATAGAAATAATATTTGGGAGTGTATTTACCTCAAAAATGATAGCGAACACTGAAACATTATGGACAAATAAATATATATGCATACATGTCTCCCAACACTACCAAGTAGAAAATATTGCCGCCATGTGACTGAAGTGAATTCTTTCATAGGCATGTCGACATACATGCATATATTCAAAATGGATTTATCAGGATAGCTAAGCTTAAAAAACAATTAAAGCCTTCTTCAGTTGTGAGATATGGACCCTTTAATATTTCTGCCTCCCTATGACATATTCAATGTTGTACTAAGGAACACAGTTATTCCATATGCCAAGCTTCAATGTATAATGGAGGGGTGCTGTATGATACCAATTTTTATCTTGATGACATTTCATTTATTAGAACATTCCCTTCTAATTAACTGTCATCCATTCAAAACAAACTGAATATTATTCTTCAGAGTTTCTGGAGCTTTAAAATGTGTCTAATGTTCCTTTAAATGAAATAAATCATTACATTGGTAATTGAAGCAACTTTTCAGATAAGATGTACAGAGAGACAGCATGTAATAACAAGCACCTTCCCTAGTAAAGAATGTTCTTTACACTTACTCTATGATTCATTGAGGGGCTCACACAATTGGAAGGAGGCTGCATGTATCCCAAGTCAGATAAAGCATGGAATGCATAAACATATGCTATGGGCATAATGAATGGTCCATCTCCAGCAATAGGTTTCTGCATACATCACCCTCAGTGAATGAATGAATGACTGAATGAATGAGACTCTCAATCGTTTGCTGTTGTGTTCATATAGTTAAATCCAAGGCATAGTATTTATTCTGTTCAGCTCAATAAAAATCAAATGAATTTGTAGCCTTGGCTGCATTTTGCCCATGGAAAATAGCTGCCAGATGTATCTTTTGCTACCTTCTGTTTTTGTTAATGTTGTAAGGAATTCATAATGTACATCTGGTCTGCTCAGAACCTTTTCAAAATAGGAACATCACATTCTGTCTCCATAACAATAAAATGAATTTAATCATATAAAATATTCACTTGACTAACACACAAATACAATAAAACACAGACAAGAGCTTACTGTATCTTTATAGGGTGGTTCTGAATAGTCTATACAATGTATTATCTACCTTTTTTATACATGCAAATATTATCCATTTTCTTCATTTTTTCTGAAGCATTTCATTTCAGAAATAATCTTTTAGATTTCAAATAACATCTTTGCAGCCTTAGTACTGAAAGAATCTAATTTCTCTAATCACTCTGAAAAATGTTATTTTCAAATGATCTCATAGAACAATTACATGGCCTTGTCTCCTGTGTTTCAGTGCTGAAATGGGAGCTGCTGCAATAAATTCCATTCACATATCAAAAAAGAAATCGAGGTAATCAAAAGGTTTGGAAAACCTACTTTTGGAACTAAGATTCCTATAGCCCCCAAGCCAGTATGGCTAATGGCTATGCCAACCACAGGATTCTGGAGTTGCAGTCCAAAAAGTGGGCTTTTAAAAACACATGTCCAAGGACACAATGGAAAAACCTATCCTACAACTCACACTGCATCAGTGTAAACCTTTCTTGATATATCCAGAACTTTATTATAAATCTCCAAGTGTTTGGAACTACAGAGAGCATTTTCTGATCTGTCATCCTTTTCAAACCTGGAAGATGTTATATGAACGAAATCCGACATAGAGTAACTTAACAGTCAATAATCATGGCATTTTACTTACTGATGTATAAAGGAAACCTTCTCCATTTAAGGCTATATACAAGCCTGTTTTTACACCCTGGATAGCAACAACTCGAAGTCCCACTGGTATAAGGTTGAACAATGCTGTAAAATAAAATAAAGATCTGTCACAGGTTCATAAAGAAAAAAATATCATAACAATGCATAGTTGATTATGGAGACATGAAAATAAGGATTACAGCATTGTATATGAATGCTGTACATTCATACAATACATTGTATATGAAATCTGTTGGTATGCCCACCATGCTACCATGAAGAAAGGGTTTGCTGGAATCTATAATGATCTGGGATGGTTTTCTTATGTTAAACTCAAAATATACCATGGGCATTTTTTTTCCTTTTGAGACTCAGAAAGGAGAAAAGTATGGGCTCAGTTGATTAGTATATTTACAGTTCCCCTACTTCAGCAGAGAAATCCAAGAAGTCTAGAGGCCACATGTGTCCCATTATTCTGGAAGGCAATACCTAGTGCACCCATTATTTTGCCTCCAGTTTTTTCTCCAAATAACACAATTACCCTTCTGCCAAATTTCAACCACCTGACAAGTCTTAGGTATATGGGTGGGAGAAGGGCTTATTTTGAAACTAGAAGTGAAAAACAAGCACAACCTATGAGGATGCTTGCCACAGATGCTGGCGAAACATCAGGAGAGAATGTTTCTAGAACATGGCCATACAACCCGAAAAACCTACAACTCAGAAAAACAGGCACTTTATTTGGAGGGGGCAGCCTTCCCCCCTCTAAAATTATGGCAAAAATTGGTAATTACTTTCTCTAAATATTGGGGTTTTTCACTCAGCCTGCTGTCTGTATTCTTCTTTTGTATGAGACATGGCAAACAGCATGGCATGCTCACCACTGAGAACAGGGACAAGCAACAGTTACATTTCATAATTTTAAAAATAGAGAAGCAGCCATTGTGTAGGTCCCTTCATCCCTAGCTGTAATTTTAAACCTGCACCGACTCAAATTGGATTTCTCCTTCTTACACTCCATCTCACACATATGAAATGTTTTGCCATGCTGGCTGAACATTGATCCTAGAATGGTAGGTGAGGGTGGCTTGACTTAACTTGTGTGTGTGTGCGTGGAATGGAGCTAGCAATCCCCCACCCCCACCCCGCTCCATTAAATTACCACACAAAATTGAATTGCCTAAAGTCTGACTTCAGAATGATAAGATAAAAGTGTATGCATACATGTAAATGACATATTAAACTGATGTCTCTAATATAAAATGTCAAAAGCTAGATTTGCTTTTTGGATTTTTATCTGGGGGGGGGGGATTTTTCAAGCCCATTGATGGTTGAATCCATGAACACAGAATCCATGGATAGGAGGCCAACTGTATTCCCAATGGGGATGAAATAATGGATGTGAATGCCAGCATAATATTGGTAGATTTATTTCCAATTCCTTTTCTAATTAGATCCAAAATTATTTTTCTTTTTTTCAACAGCTGTCCACCGAGTTGACATTTTCACTAAGCTATCTACCACAACCTCAAGTATCCCCTTTGTGATCAGTCACTGCCAGCTCAGATCCCATCTGTGTAAAGGTGAAGTTTGAATTTTTGCTCCAATATACATCATTTTACACTTCTTTATGCTGAATTCATTTTATATTTTAATGCTCTTCCCTCCAGTTTAAAAGGAGTCCTTGATGCTTTTCACAATCAATTTATGTTATCACTACCTTAAATTATTCAGTGTCCTGAATAAACTATTCACTCCTAATGGCAGCTTTTCCATCAGGAAATACTCATCACTTCATCTCTGATAGATAAACATCCTAAACATTTTCTTTTCACAGCCTTTTGTCTGCAGTCCTGAGCATGCTAATATATCTTTTAAAAATTGCTTCAGAATGGCATACTGCCTTTCAGGATACCTTAATTGGCATTAAGGTCTCCTAATTGGCATTAGGAGACCGTAATGCCAGTTTTGCGTTCACTGGAAAGGATTTACATAAGTTTCCCCTTGCTTAATATATTTATTCTATGATTTAATTAATTCTCTAGTAATTGATTATTTTGTCACTTTTTTAGGACTGCCCAAGTTCCCCCTTCCGTCCCAAAAGTCTCTGTTTAAAATCCAGCCTGATGAAAAGGTTTTGGAAAACTGAAAGTTTGATTGTTGGGCAATTTTTGAAATTGCCCAACTGTGTATTTTAGAGCTGCTGCTTACTTCTTGTTGTGTGAAGATGAATATGCTATGTACATTAGAGAAAAAGAGAACAGAACAACAGTAGTATACACAGAGAAAATTAGGTTGGTTGATTAATCCTTTATGGGATTAGAAGATACTAAGGAAGAGTATGGCTTTCCAGTCTAAGGGTAACTTTGATAACGAAGGTTCTCTGCATCTTGTTTCTAATGGAAATTAGATTGCTCAAGCTGATATAGAATGAAGCAGATATATAAAACTCTGAAATCTCTGCAAGTAAACAGCATATTCATCTTTAGTCTTGTGCGGGCAACTGATCTTAGATGTTTTAATGAACTCCATTTCATTTAAGTTAAACTAAACAACCCCTGGGGAAAATAAGAGAAGACTTACAGGAATGCTGTCTCTAACACATACCTAAACAGCTCAGTAAAATAAAAAATAAAAAACACTGAAATGTTTAAACTCAGGACTTTTTCTTTTCTTTTCTTTTCTTTTCTTTTTTTTTTTTGCTATTAATGAGTTTCCTGTGCATACATGCTAGGGGTCCTTCTATATGGCAATATAATCCAGAATATCAAGTCAGATAATCTACATTATCTGCTTTGAACTAGATGATCTGAGTCTACACAGCCAAATAATCCAGTTCAAAGCAGATAATCTGGATTTCATATAGTTGTGTAGAAGGGCCTGGGCTAACCACGTGGCAAAAAGCACACTCATCTGTGTCCATTGCTCCATTTAGAATGCCAAGCAATCCACCCATGTTTGCACCTTTGGTGTGGCAACAAAAAAGAAATAAAGTACTATCCTAGATAGACTGATCCTTAGTGATTACTTGTTTTGGGACTGATGGCCACTCTAATTAATCATTTTCCTTCTTATAAGGTTAGGGATTCTGTTGTCGTACTGCCCACCACACAGCACAACGGTCTCCCTTCCTGAGTTTGCTGAGGTGGTGTTGGGGCTGGTGTTGGAATTCACACAGCTTGTAATGCGGGGAGATTTCGACCTTAATGCTGTGGGTTCTTCCACATAGCCATATAACCCAGAATATCAAGGCAGATAATCCACAATATCTGCTTTGAATTGGGGTATCTGAGTCCACATTGCCATATAATTTGGTTCAGTGTGGCTTTTATACAGCTGTGTGGAAGGGGCCTGAGGCTACCCTGTTGGAAGCCACTCAGTATTTCATGTTTTCCATGTAAACCATAGGTCTGACCAAAGTGCTGTTTGGCCCCATTCTTGATGGTAAGTAAACTCTACACCTTGTTTTCTGTACAGAAAAGGATTGTGCTGATATGGAATGAAAGAGCTTTCTACTGTTCCATTGTCATGAACAGATCACTTCTTGGTCAGGTTTAGCCTTACTGGGGAAATGACCATGGTGGTGGTCTCAATTACTCTTACGTATCCCTTCTTACAGAATGGAACTAAACAAGCCCCCTGGTTTTCTAGGGAGCTGGCGGCAATGAAATGAGTGAGACTGCAAGTAGAGAAATAGTGGCAGAAAACACAGAATGAGTCTGACTGAAAACAGGCTAAAATCGATCTCAAAGTTCATTTTGGGATAACAAGGGCCTATTTTTTCTCACTGATGCTATTGCTCCTTCATAGAACCATTCAGCAGAGTTGTTTTGACTGGTCAGGGATCAGCTACAATCAGTCCTAAAGAAAAAGGTAAGCTTGCTTTAAAGAATTTGCCCAACTGTGTGGTTTTCAAAGACTTCCTTGCAGCTGGGGGGAAAAAACTAAAACCACTGACAGCTTTCATTGAGAAGAAAATCAGAAAGGAATTATATTTTATTTTATAAGTCTTCTTGAAAGATAGAAAATGAGTGATAAGGGCTTCCACACATCATATGAGATGTTTTTGGTCTCAGGGGTTCTAAAATGTTGATACAACCGTGCACCAGGAAAAAAGTATACTGACAGTAATTTTGTTTTTTTAATAACAGTGGAAATACACATGAACCCACTGTTTCCTAAGAATAGAGTGGCTTAAATTTAGAAGATATTTCTATACTTCCAGTAGCTACAATGGAGATTAGGGTTGGGCAGTACATCTTCTGGTTGAAAAGTAAAGTGTTTCTCTATTTATACCTGTGAAGATTATTATTTTAGAGCATTTTTAAATGGAAAAAATAGAACTTCCCTCTCTGCTTTTTAAAAGATTATTTCCTCTATTTTAAATGACTCTGGACCAATATCAAATTACTTGTTTTTTACATGTTTATTTTTACTAAAGCTGCAAAGAGCCTACTATATTTTGTTACAGCTTTACATTAATTCTAAACATATTTCATGTTTCCTGTGCTCTTGATTATGCTTTTTCCAGTCCTTAGTTGTCACTGTCCTTGACTTCATTTCCCTTCATTGCTATTTAATGTAATCAGGAAATGCAACCTGTATGATTTCTCTCTATGACATCACAATGTTGCATCTAATGTCAGAACTGTCTCTAAATAAAATTATGTGACCTGCCAGTGCCACTCTCAATTGGATTAAGTAGTATGAACAAATGTCTTCATTCACGAAGGTGAAAGCAAGGACAAAAACCGAGAAGAATGTTTAGCAAGGTTAACCTTTTCCAGAAATTTTGATGTGTACTAAATATGCTGAATCAGGCATGGGCAAACTCTGGCCCTCCAGGTATTTTAGACTTCAACTCCCACAATTACTGACAGCCGGTACCAGCTGTTAGGAATTGTGGGAGCTGAGGTCCAAAACACATGGAGGGCCAAAGTTTACCCATACCTGTGCTAAACTGTAAGGCAAACATAAAAAACTGAATATTGAGAGCATCTGAAATCTTAGCTGAAGTGCTATTATACATGTTAAATAAGAGAAAATGAGAGCAAAACATCTGGGGAAAATGTTTTTAAGCGGCTTAAAATGTTACACAAGCATCATCTCAGTAACCTTAATACCATTATTATAATCTAGTTTAATATTACTATCTTTGTGTTACTATTGTAAGGACTGAGGCTGGAGGTCAGTGGATTAACTAAAGGCTTGCCTAGACTAGTTAAAGACCTTAGTTACAGACCCACTGCCAAGACACCACATCTGGAAGATAATCATCCTCAAGCTACGAAGGATTGCCTAAGTAAGTAAATAACCTATCTTAACCCTGGATCCAATACTGGCAGTCCTCACAATGCACAGCAACATGCAGTAAGTATCCTGAGGATTTGTGCCATTAACCTGACTTTGCTTAGTACTAAACAAAGTTGGGGATACTCTAGAGCAGTGGTGTCCAACCTTTGGTCCTTCTGGTGTTTTGGACTTCAGCAACAATTCCTGACCATTGGACAAGTTGGCCAGGGCTTCTGGGTGTGGCTTTTGGAGGCACTTCTCATCATTATAACAATTTTTAATTATTGTTATGCTTATAAATATTTCAGGGAAGGTGTCCATTAGTTACAATACAATACAAAACTTTATCACGGTCACTGACCAGCACAAAGGGGGGCACAAGCATTCTGGGAAGGGGAAACAAAGCTCCCCAGTGAAGCAGTTATTTAAAAAAAACAGATTAGAAAACAGTTTAAAATCACAGTTTAAAAACACAGGTTAATGTAGCAGGTATGGAAGTGAGGGGGGTGGACTTATATGAGGTATCAAAGCACTGGGCGTGTTGACTGAGTGTGTCCACGAGTTGTTGACTCGGCTGAAAACAGGGTTTGGAAATGGGTTTCTGTTTAGATTAGTAAAGATTTAAGGCACAGTTGAAATCATTTTGTTAAACAAGATGAGGTAAGACTCAAGTGAACATTATCAATATTTCCTGAAATCAGATGCTGCTTCTTATCCATAGTTGTTTGAAAATACATGCCTCCAAGAATACCCACCCATGCCATTTCACTAAAATACACATCAAAAACATCAAAAGTCATAGAATAGTCAATAATACCTATGTGCACATCTTGGAATTGTTAACTCTACAATGTGTGGTGAACATTTTCCTAGAACAATCACTTACTGGAATTACTGCTGTCATCCTTGGTTCCATCGAGACTTCCATCGGGGTGCATTTGCAAGTAGTAGCCTTGCCTGCAATATAACCTGGTCACTATACCCTTGAGCTGGGGATCTGAAAGACAAACATATTGTGTCAGTAGCCTCAAAGCCATTTTGTGAGATATTTCTGTGTCTCTCTTTGAGAGGGATATCTATCGTAAAAGCAGCATGGCTACCTTTAAAGTTAACCTTTAAATTATTACAAATTCCTAATGGTCTATGCAGAATTTTATTAGTCATGTTGCTCCCACAGAGTTTGAAATTCAGAGAAAAACAATGCTTTTATCAGGAGGTGTTATTTATGTCCAACTCTTTCATGTTTCTCTACCACAAATGAACCATCCCATGCAGTCCTTAACAATGAGCCTTCAATATCTTCCTCTTTGAACAGCTGAGCTAATATCACACAGTGAGTTGACCAAAGTTTCAGTTAAGGAATCAAAGAGATGAGATGATTATCTTTATTCACTTTTATTGCTACCCAAGCTGTTAGTTCTCATATACTGCTTTCTCATTTTCACATTGACAAACATCACAATAATTTAAAATATGGTTTGTGTTCCTCTCAGAGGAGGGAATTCCTCTCAAGGGGGAAATCAACTATATTAGGTTAAACAGACTAATATGACAATGAATGGGTTTGGGCACATGAGATATTATGGCAACTAACACTAGGAACATACTATGAATAACTAACTAATAAATAACCTAATATGGTCTCTTAAAAAACAGAATTACTGAATGTTTTAAAAATCCCAACAGCACCAAAATTGATTTTTCACATCAAACACAAGCCTTTTATTTCTGTAAGGCATTATGATCATTTGCCTCAATTTCTCAATACGCGGCCATTTTTCTCTTTCTTTCTTTCTTTCTTTCTTTCTTTCTTTTTCTTTCTTTCAGCAATCTACAGCTCTTTATTCTAAACCTTTTCCTGTACAATATTAGGAAAGTTGCACAATCTACACCTTACTCTAACAACAAAGTTAATTGTTTTGCAATGTATACAGCAAAGTGAAGCCTTGCTGGTCTTTATTGTCATATTATATTTTATTTCTAGTTAGGAGTTTTCATAATTATTATATTTTCACAGATTTTAAATAAAGGTAGTATAAACCAGAGAATATGGGTTAACACATTGACCAATGGATAATGCAACTTTTCATATTCACATTATTCACAAATAAACATATTTATTAATAAGGAGTTATATATATGCAGTTCTTAAAGAAGCATAGTATACTAAACATTTTGGATTGGAGCCAGAAATACATAATCAGAAGACATTCTGGCTATAGAATTGTTCTGACCTAGTAGAAGACATCCTACAACACAGACAAAGCTCTGGCATTCATTTGAAATACCGTCCAAGGACCTGTCCTGGAGAGATTGTAGAATACTTTGTGCTAATGGAAGCCTCAATATTTCAGTTTCACGTTCTCATGTTCCAGGATTTCCAAATCCTGTAATCATCCTTTCTACTACCAATTTGTAGCTAGTACAATTGAGGGCCCCTAGATATCTTTAGACTGAAACTCTCTAAAATATCATTATCGGCTCTACTGGCAAGAGATCTAGGCAATTCCACATAGAAACAAATAGCCCAATTTTCCATACCTCACCTATTTGAGTTGAACCTCCAGATTCAACCCCTTAAAGCTTTTATTGTCAGAACTACTTAAAGTTAATACTATAGAAGGCATGTTGAGGAAAGGGGAATCAAAATTCTTTTTTTATTATTTGAATGTACATTTTATGAGGCAATACTAAAATAAGTGATATCTTGTTTCTTGCATCATGTAGAGGTGACAGTTATACTAACAATGCTTTCTGAAAAATAAGGTCAATTGTTTTTCAATGGGATTTGCTCCCAAGCAAGTTTGTTTGCACTAGAAATTATGGGGTTCTCTGAGTGCTTTAGGCTGCACTTCCCAGCAACCCTAGCTGTCACAGTCAGTGGTGAAGAATGTTGGGAGCTATGATATCTCCACATCATAGTGGCCACACACTTCTCAACTTGTATTGCAATCTTTATTTACATTTACCGAAATGTATTATCAATAAATACAGCTGAACTTATTTTGAACTAAACAGACACAGGGCAGGGCTGCACAATGCTTTATCTTAAATCACATTCTATGAATTTGCGGATAGAACCTTATTATTTCATTGACCACTAGCCAACTGTAGCTCCAAATACCTGCAGGGCCACAGGTTATGCAGGAGACTATAAACATAGTGTGGAAGGTGTAACTTCTTACATTTATTTAATATTAAATTTAAACATTTTAAAAACTTTATTATTTTGTTACTCTGCTCATGAAGAAAGGCATCAATCAAAATTACCTTCAAGTATGCAAACCTTTGACTTATGGTTGCTTTTTTAAAGTATTGTTAAGTACAACAGTTCAATAGAGTTTGTTCCCAGCATGTTAAATGGCATTGCACATTTTAAATTATGTTATGTATGGCATATAATGAAATGGCTAGGACCAAACTAGAGTGTTGTTGTTCATTCGTTCAGTCGTCTCCGACTCTTCGTGACCTCATGGACCAGTCCACGCCAGAGCTCCCTGTCGGCCGTCACCACCCCCAGCTCCTTCAAGGTCAGTCCAGTCACTTCAAGGATGCCATCCATCCATCTTGCCCTTGGTCGGCCCCTCTTCCTTTTGCCTTCCACTTTCCCTAGCATAATTGTCTTCTCTAGGCTTTGCTGTCTCCTCATGATGTGGCCAAAGTACTTCAACTTTGTCTCTAGTATCCTTCCCTCCAATGAGCAGTCGGGCTTTATTTCCTGGAGGATGGACTGGTTGGATCTTCTCGCAGTCCAAGGCACTCTCAGCAATTTCCTCCAGCACCACAGCTCAAAAGCATCGATCTTCCTTCGCTCAGCCTTCCCTAAGGTCCAGCTCTCACATCCGTAGGTTACTACAGGGAATACCATGGCTTTGACTAGGCGGATCTTTGTTGCCAGTCTGATGTCTCTACTCTTTACTATTTTATCGAGATGGACATTGCTCTCCTCCCAAGAAGTAAGTGTCTCCTGATTTCCTGGCTGCAGTCTGCATCTGCAGTAATCTTTGCACCTAGAAATACAAAGTCTGTCACTGCCTCCACGTTTTCTCCCTCTGTTTCCCAGTTGTCAATCATTCTTGTTGCCATAATCTCAAACTAGAGTAGATCCAACAAATTACTGAAATTTATGGAAATTTGGATTTCTCTGAAATCCTATGGGCTTATGTCTTCAGATTCAGGATTAAAGGATAACTGCTGTATTTCTCTTGTTGTTTCTTATAACTTAAAATGTGAGATATTGTAAGTTGAAAATGTAGCTGAACTAACCCCCAAAGGAACAATCTCATCCATTTTTCCTTTTGCTGTGTGCAATACAATACAATATTATTTTTGTATCTTTATACTGAGGACACAATCAGCGAAGAACCCACATCCCATTCATGGAAGTCTAAAGTTGTAAGACGTCAACCCTCCATGGAAATTTAATGTAATCCATTTTAATTTAGTCATATCCTGTAAGGACAGAGGCAGTGTGAAATGACAGATCCATTAGTCAACATACCCAAAATTGTATAGACTCTAACCAATATGCAGTTGCATATTGCATGAACATAAAATAAGGAGTATTCATAAAGGAGAAACTACATATATAAAGAACAGAAGGGTAACAAAAAGATGTCCATTTACAAGAGCATATACCTCACTAAAAAGAATTCAGATAGTTCACTCTTTTTATATAAGATAGTGATTTCTGGTTTTTTTTGTGCATGTCACTCATCTCTGTGACAGCTTCAGATAAGCTTCCCATAAATCAAAGCTTCGCATAAAGAGGAAGTGACAATGGAAGTGTATAGGCTAGAGAACATTGGCACAATTTTGCACCTGGCAATTCTACCTATATCAGGGACTAATGCAATTCATTTGGAAACAGCCTTTCGGAGGCCCCTTTAGAATATTAATTTGCAAAGCACCTGGGAAAATTCCATAGAAAATAAGGTATTCCGGATCATCAGTGAGCAGCTCAGTAGGGAAAGGACAGCAGCCTAATTTGCAATGCTAAGTACAGAATTCTGAACCACAGCCAATTTCATATAGTTATGTACAGGAAGCTTCTTCTATAATACAGAGTGGCAGGGTTCCTTAACTTATTATTAACTTCATTTACTCCTTGCCAGAATGCATAAAAGCACATGAAATGAAGTGGTGTATTCTTTCTGGTTAGATATGCAGAAGCATCACTCCAAAGTGCGGCTGGCATATTCACAGAACGTTGTACACTCTATGTGGTCCAATTTCTGGTTAATATATGAACTGTAAAAAAATATGGGAAGGAACCATTCACATTACTTGTATACAATTTTACATTTGCTTGTACTGACAGGCAGAAACAGCACTAGCATACAGAAGGAGGACGTGAACATTCAACAATCTGGCTGGGGGGAAAGAGAGGGAGTAAGAACAAGAAAAATGAAATCTACTCCCTTCCAAACTGATTAGCCAGGAATTTGCAATATATGTCACACATAAGAATTATAGAGCAGCTCGGGTCAACCTTTGTTTTTAATTTGTGGATTGTGCCAAAATGAAAGGCTTTTCCAGTCTGTCTTACAGCAGAGTTTGGCAATGCACACCTAACCTCATCATCTCCTGCTGCTATCACTCTGTGAAAAGCAATCAATTAAAAATAAACGATAAAGCCTTGCCAAGTACAGACAAAAGGGTTTGTGCTGTGATTATACATATACAGGAGGAATCACTGATTTAAGCTAAGCAGATGTACTGCTGCACATACAAAATAGAAAAGACACCTAGCTCTCCAACTAAGATTATTGTATTACCAATGGAAGGGTTTTCACTTATTCTACTTTTCCCCATTAATGCCTTGTTTGGAGAGTGAAAGGCCTGGCACAGCAGGGATGAATGAAAATGGAGAGCATATCTTCCAACATTTCACAAATGAAAACTGGGATATATGTGGTCAAGCAACATCAAGTGCAATATTACAAATGTTATTAATGAGGTTAGGTAGAAGAGGCTGTAACAGTTTGCTTTGCCTTA